TTTGAAGGTTGGTCAAGCAGAACGACCACCCTAGCTGGAGAAGTACAAACATGGAAAACTTAGTCTTCTTAATCATTAATTAACACGTTCCTTTTTCTCTAACTGCGTCTTAGAAATGTCATCTTCTCAAGTACCCCAGTTTCTCCCGCGCCGTCAGTCCTGTACAGACTATCCGCAGTCCTTTCCGTTTAATAGACGAGTCAGAGAAGAGGACCATCTCAAACTAATGACCTTCCCTCAATGGAAAACAGTGCTTTCCAAATAGAGCTAAATCTGTGTGCCCCTACTGGCTCCACAGACGTTCTCAATCCTGTTAGAGTTAGAAACCACTTGTGACTTGATAAAATCTGAAATGTATGTATGAATGAAATGAGCAACGTGAAAACCAAATATGAAGCATCATTCTGCAAAACCAGACAGGAGAGCACCAACACATTACCATTTTCGTCCCACCTTGTTTTTAGAGCAGTTTTAGGGACACTGTAAAATTAACAAAGCATAGATTTGCCACAGATTCTCTGCCCCCACCCTATATGCATAGACTCTTCACCCACACAGGTAGGATACTTTTTTTGTTATAATTGATGAATCTGTGTGATAACAGTTTCACTGCCCACCTTCCCAAATTAATCTATGCCCCACCTACTCATCCTTACTTCTCCACTTCTGGCAACCACTGATCTTTTAACTGTCTCCATCATTATGCCTTCAAGTTTGCCATCCTCCTGCTTAGACTTCCAAGTACTGGCATTACCATCTTGTGCCACCACACTTGGCAGAGATTGAGTCTTCTTTTTCCAACCAGATGGTAAATGATATAGTTTTGGTGGTGAGGATTGGATGTAGGCACTCTGCCTCTGAGCCACACCCCAAAGCTTTATATTGTTTTAATATTAATTTGAAGTTCCTTGGTGATAACATGAAGCATATTTTCATATGTTCATTTATTATTATTTTTTATATTCTTTGTGATAGCTTTGTGCCATTTTCCACTAGGGTTGTTTTTTCTTTTTGTTGCGTTTATATCCTTTATCAGACAAATTATCTGAAAAAAATTTTTCCTAGGTCTGTCTCTCCATCATTTGCTCTCACTGTCTCAAATACTGTCTTGGTGGTAAACACCTTTAAGCTGTGTTGTTTTGGGGTTTTTTTTGTTTGTTTGTTTTGCCTTGCAATTTTTACTTTACAATGTAAACACAGGGCCTTGTACATTCTAGGCAAGTGCTCTATCTACCCTTGAGCTTTCTCCAGCTTAAGTCATCTCTTTCTGATACTAAACATGCTGCCCTGCCTTTGGTAAAGTGCTAAGTTGAGGGGAAGCACTTTATGATTTGATTTTAGTCTTTTTAGTGAGCATATGACTCTCAGCAGTGACCTTCTCAAGTGCTTCTCTGTCATCATCCTCCTTATGTGTCAAAGGATGGCTATAGCTGGCTGGATTGGATTGTCCCATTCCTCCGGGTCAGGGAAGCTCTGTGACAAACTCTGAAGGTTAAACACTGGTTAACTAGTTTCCCCTGAGCTAGTTAAGAAGTAGGATGTTTCACTTCTTTTCCTCTTTCTCTGCCAGGGGCACCAGGGAATCTTTCTCAGTATGAGACCCTGATAAGCTCATAAAAACATAGGGCCCTTCCTTCCCCAATGTTTGGATCCCCTGGAGTTTTTAGACGTGTGTGCGCACATGAGAACAGGAGCCTGAGGAAACCAGACGCATCAGACCCCAGAGCTCCCATAACAAGTGGTTATGAGTCACCCAACATAGAGGTAGCCCAGAATGGAATTTGGATCTTTTCTATCTCAGATTTCTCCATACCGAGCCTCCAACAATTCATCACAGTTTAGGTCTTCCTATCTCAGCTGGCCCTCGTTCCCTTGGAGGATTCTACTACTGAGGTTGTGATTTCCTGTATTTGCCTGTCAGTCTCTCCAATTGTGAGGGCAGTTTGCTTCATGATCTTAATTCTCAATGGAACTTTGATTGTTGATGAAGGGACTCTGGCCAGCTCTAGTGTAGGGACCATGGCTCTGACAGGTCTTGCCCTTCTTTGCAATTCCCTCTGCATTGCTTAAACCATTAGATTACATTCCTAAAGCTAGCCACCAAGGTCTATTCCTTATTTGGCCACTTCCTCCTCCTGAGGCTGACTACCAAAGTCCAGCTATCAAAGAACTGAAGCCCAGAAATCAAAAGTCCCCCTTAGCTCACCCAATTAACACGTCCAATTAAAATTAAATACCTCATCCTAACACAGGTTTCCCCTTTTACCTTATAAACTATCATTTGCCTATGGGTCATGTGTGTCCCCTCTTTATCCAAAGGCAGTTCTTTGTCCCTCCTGGACAAATAGCTCTGCCCTCTCTCCCTTGTTCCCTTCCTCCTTTCCCTCTTCCTCTATCCCCTGCCTTTGTCTCTTGTCCCTCCCCTCTGTCCCTCTGGGGCAAATAAATTCCCTTTGTGCTGAGAACTTGTTCTTGGGGTCCTGAGCTAATACTTCTCCTTTCTGTTTAGTTTTCAGTTTGTTCAGCTTTCTACATGTTAGAAGGAAGATCAAGAGAAACCTTGCAAAGTTCATAAATGCCAGATTAGGAACCAGAAACTAAAGTGTAATATTTTGAAGAGGGTAGTGTTGAGACAGGGTTTCACTCTGTAGCTTAGACTAATCTAGAACTCACTATGCGACTGGGATGGCTTGTGCCTAAGGGTGCAATATTTAAAATAAAACATTTAACCATATCAGTAGTCCCTGTACATACACACAAATAAGAAACATGATTATTAAAAAAATATTTATTAATTTTTATACCTGCTAGGTAGCACAAGACTATTAACACTATAACTCACTGAATATACAATAAATGTTCACATTTAAATAACAGGATAGAATCAATACTTTCAACCAATGGGCCAGCTTCAGCATCTCATTAGGTGCTTTTTAGCTTTAGATATTTTTAAGAATTTTTTTGAAAGGATAATTCCAGGTCAGAAAATAACTCAAGAACATCAAAACAGAAAGTCTTTCCAGAAAAACAGGAACCTTACATGATGAAATATCCATTTCTCTGGGCACAGACTAAACAATAAAAATGTAAAAAATCTATATCCAACCCACTTCAAAACATCCACACTGTAGTGAATGTAGTCTACAGTATTGGTGTGTCGGGGTAAAGACTGCTATGTAGACACTGGCTTCATCCATGTTCCCCAAATTAGGCTGTCAGAGGGACTACACTCTTGTCACCCTTCTGATACCTTGGGATAAATTCATAAAATACCTGATCTTAGAGTGGTGATGTCTTCACTGCCATCCACATCTCTGGTTGATGACATATGTTGTAGTATTTATTTAATCCACATAAGAACCAAAACAGGAAAAATAAATTAGAATGGAAAGAGACAAAAAAGTCCTTCAACAGGATTTTTCCTCTATGTATCTTAAAACTTAAAAAATAACTGACACAAAACCAACATTCCTTCAGTGATTGGCTTTTTATTTTAATCACTGGGTTATTCCTGAGAAGAGGGGAGATACCTTGCTGGCTCAAGTTAAAGAGAATCCAAAGGGCCAAATTTAATTAATTAATTTTTTAAAAATTTATTTTCAAGACAGGGTTTCTCTGTGTAGCCCTGGCTGTCCTTGAATTTTTTGTAGACCAGAGTGCCTCCAATTCAGAGATGTGCCTGCCTCTGCCTCCCAAGTGCTGGGTTGAAAGGCAGGCACCACCACCCAGCTCTAACAGGCCAAATTTAAATGACAAAAACTAAAACTGTAACACTGAGATGGACCAGTGCTCTTTGCCTTCCAAGGCTGAAACCTTGGGATAGTTAGTTATTACACTACAGAACCTTGGGAACCAGAGTCTTACATTTTGTGACTTGGAGTCAACATTTCATGTTGAAAATATTGTTACCTTTTTGTTATCAAAGATACAGTGTCCATTTTCAGTTTCCACACATTTTTGAGGTATTTTTCTTCAGTTCTTTTCATACCCAAATCTTCAGACATAAGTCTATGAACAAGATCTCAAAGGAAAGTGCAGGATCTACATAATAAAGTGACTTCAAAACCAAATGTTTACTTTTCAGGAAGGCATCTTTATATACCACACAGAAGATATTCTATTTCTTAATTCACAGACCCAGTTTTTCCTCAGAAATGTAAATAAAATAAATTAGTTAACTTCATTTGAAATGAACTTAGGTCTTCTTGATCTGGAGTGATAAATTCACTCTACAATAATTATTTTAAAATGTATGTCACAAAAAGTTGTTAAAATACAGGCTTTTAAGATGTCTTATGGGTACAACTGGGATGTGCAGTTAAAAAGAAGGGCAATACTTCCCCACTAGATTCACAGCAAACAAGACTCCCAAACAGGAACACACAGAAGACAACTATCACACAGAAAACTGCTTTCCTCTCCCAACTAACTGTTACTATTCCTCCACACCTGTCCTTTTACCTCAGTGTATTACAATGGTCCCCTTATTTTTATTTTTTCCCTTAAGTGGGAAATTGGTCATCTTATAACAAGATCTAGGTTAGTTACAATATGCTTAAAGTTTAAAATGCTCACAAATAAGAAAGGCCACCTTTCCACCCAACTTCAAAGAATCTTCATTTTTAAGATAGCATTGGAAGTACCAAAGCTGTGAACAAAAGTGTGATGTAGGGACTAGAGTTGTAGCTCAATGATGAGGAACCAGCCTAGCATGCAAGAGGCCCTGGGTTTGATTCCCAGCATCACACACAAAAAGTGTTATACATATACCTGATGAACCCAAGTGGGAGTATGGAATTCAACCTTGACTACTGAGCAGTAAATGGATCCTGCAAGGCAGGACAAGGTTTCAGTTCTGTCTGTCTGTCTGTCTGTCCCTCTCTGTGTGTGTGTATGAATGTGTATTCATGTATATATATATATATGTATACATATATATACACAACTTACATATATAGTGATTTTTCATAGAATCAGTATCTCCTTCTTAAACTCAGAAGCCTGGAGGCAGAGCTTTAATGCAGGGGCTCTTATTGAGATCATGCAACCTTTGTCTTCCAGGGAGTCTATGTATGTGGAACATGAGGTCAATCTGCCTGGGGCCAGCATCTGTGGGGAGCACCACCACTGCCCAATAAGTTTTCCCAAACAAGAGTTTAAAAATAACTGCTATGATGGTACCTGACTGTAGTCCCAGTTACTTGGGAGGCTAAGGCAGGAGGATCTCATGAGTCCATGAGTTCAAGGTTATACTGGGCAGCACAGTGAGATCCCATATAGGAGAGAGAGAGATCAGTAATAAGATTTTAGATGACAGTTTTTCCTTCAGAACACCACCATCAAACCTTTATCATATCATTTTAATTTTTTCATCCAATAAGCTGCCTTTCTTAAATTACTGAAAACTCAAATGCATGAGATAAAGTGGTTCTGACCTAATCACACCCTTGAAATAAATGTTTCTTCTCTTTTGATGCATTGCTTGGATTTCAGAAGTCCAGTGACCATGGACTTGGACATCCTATGTCCACCTTTGGTATGAACATAATATGCCACTTAGTATCTCCACAAAGGGACAGTAAGGCTTATCAGTGTGTTCAAAAACAAAAACAAAACAAAAACAACCAGCTCAAGAGCAAGGCCAAGTTTCTCCATCTGGAAGTCAACTTTTCCCTGAAAGAGCTGCATTCCATGGCAGAAATCCCAAGGGTAAAGATGACCTTGGCAAAAATTACCCCTGGCATATGTGCGTCAAAATGGTAGTTTCCAAACTCTTGAGTGAGTAATAAATCTTTAAAAAGAGGTCTAGGTGTTTGAAGCTTCAGATTTCGAATGAGAAGATGTGGTGTGAGCTCTGGACTCCAGGTGCAGAATGAAGGCTACGGCTTGGTGATGTGCACTTCGCTGCTCCCATTCCCATTGGTAGTGGTTGTGATGATGTACTGTGTGGTCTGCTGTTGGCTGGGGCTTGTGGAGTCCAGGGAGTCACTGTGTGCAGAGGGCTGAACCTGGACTGTGCCGGAGAGAGTAGAGGCGTGCTTTTCCTCCAATTCTGGTTGACTTTCTGACAACACATAATGACCCTAGAGCAAAAGAAAATAAAACTTAAAAGAACTGGGTCTGGAAGGGAGCGTGGGAACTACCAGAAGAGGGGAGGAGCAAGTATCCAAAGCAGTGTTTCAAGGGAACCCAAATAGGTACCTCTGAAGGATGCTTTACCTATTCCCTTTATGGAGGAAGGATAAGTCACAGTAATTGACTCCAGAGGTAATTTGAATGAGCACTTTTGCTGTGTTATCAGATGACATGATGAGGAACCTTACAGAGGTTTGTAGCATGGTGATACCTTACTTGGCAGAAAAAGTTTTTTTAATTAAAAAAAATAAATTAAAATTGCATTTTAAAAGTTGTTCCTAAGAATTTAGAAATTTAAAAAATATTGCCAATGAAAGTGTTAAAATTCATCCAAAATGAATGATAAGGTCTCTGTAAAGGGGCAGGCTGGTGTCTAAAACAGTTCTTCAACACTCACGGTTCCCAGCTAATAGAATTTCAAAGCCAGCAACATTTAAAATAATATTTAATGGGGCTGAGGAGTTATCTCTGTCAGTTAAGTCTTTGCAGCAAAAGCATAAGGAATTCAAGTCCAACAACTGGACCCTTTCCAAAAGGCCATCATGAGGGCACACTCCTGTAGTACAATACACTCCTATACTCCCTGTGTTGTGTTGTGAAGGGAAACAGAAGTAGATCCCTGAACCCCAAAACCCACTAACTCCAAGTCAGTGAGACCCTGTATCATTAAACAAAGTAGAAGGCTCCCAAGGAATAATACCTCAGGTTGACCTCTGGCTAGCTTACACACACACACACACACACACACACACACGCACGCACGCACGCACGCACGCACGCACGCACACACACACACACACACACACACAAACACCCTAAGTTTTAGTTTCCCAAGTAAAGACATTTAGAATATACTAGAACAAAGGTTAGAGAAAAGGCTCAGCAGATAAGGGCATATGTTCTCTGTTTATAGAGAGAACACAGGTTCAGTTTCCCACGCCTATAACTCAGCTCCAGAGGATCTGATGCCCTCTTTCTGGTTCCTCAGATACCTGCATTACATGCATGTACCCTACCTGCTCCCACAAGCATACATAATTAAAAAGTATTTTTAAATCTTTAAAAATAAAATCAATTTGCTACCCTTATCAAGTATGTGCATTCTACTTGAGAACAAGGAAAGGGGTTAGGGATTCAGCTCAGTGGTAGCAAGCATGAGGTCCTGGGTTTAATCCATAGCACACACAAAATAAATAAGTAAGTAAGTAAGTAAATAAATAAATAAAAGCACAGAAAAAAATATAGTCTTAGAATACAGTGAAAGTGGGGGTTTAAATGAGTTCACCAGACCCAAGATAAATGATAAGTAGATATTTATTAGAGAAGAACTTACATAGATAAGAGCTCTTCCTGCTCCAGAAGATGCCCTGCCCTTCCCAAGCTCTATGAAACCTGAGATAGTGTGAGCCAAACCCTCCTCTACCTTATAATGGGTCATGTCTACACCTGAAACCACACCCAAAGGGTGTGGTCACCACTACAAATTCACTGGCAAGATGTCACTACAATACAGTGCCATCACTGTATTCTATCCCTAGCCCATGAACTGGCTTTTTGGAGCCCATTTCCTGTAACACAACAAATACAATACCCAGAGACTGTTATTAGGGTTCAAGCTTCAGAAAAAACAAAGCAGCCGAGCCACTAGCTCTTACCTCTACCTCAGACTGAAAGGTGATCCTGGCTCCACCAAACTTCAGACTGCAATTACAGACTGCTATGCTCTCCTCAACGTGGCTGGAGAATCCTGATTCTGACTATGGAAGACCCTGCTCCTATCTTTTCTATCTCTCTAGTGCTGGGATTAAAGGCATGAGTTCTGTTACTCTTTTATACTGATTCAATCTCATGTAGCCCTGAGTGGCCTTGAACTCAGAGAGATCCATCAGCCTTTGTCTTCTGAGTCGTGGGATTAAAGATGTGTGCCACCACTACTTAATCTCTACAGTTTGAGGCTAACTGATTTCTGAATCCTCAGCCAAGCTTTAATAAATCATAAATAATTTATCACCCCAATTTCCTATGGATCTATACCTTGCTCTGTCTAAACACTGAGGGGAGGGCCTTGGTCAAGCTTCATCGTGGTGATGGGACAGACTTCTGTTGACTTCCCATAGGAGGCCATTCTCTCTCTGAGGAACAGGTGAGGGATGGGATGAGGGAAGGTGGGAGGAGCATAATGAGGAAAGGGAGAACTGGGATTGATATATAAAATTAAAAAGTAAAATTGATTACTTAATAAAAAAGAAAAAATATAGAACCTTGCACTGAATAAATTTAAGGGAACTCACATTGTCTTCACTTTTTTTCTCATTTTTTCCCCTTTGATCATGAGAATTTCATACATACAAGCTAGGCATTTCATCCATTATATTAACTTTTTTAGATAAGATCTTAATAGCTCAGGCTAACCTTAAACCCGCTATGTAACTGAAGATAACTTTGAACTCCTGGTTCTTCTGTCTCCACCTCCAAAATACTTGGATTACAGGCATACACCACTACACTTCACTTTATATTAACATTTTTAAAGAAATACTATTTCAGACAGAAGGGCAACTGGTCTTCCATGGAAGCAAGATGCTATGACAGGTATCCCTGTCCCTCAAGAGCCTGTGTTTTCTGTTGGTTGGTTGGCTTTTTGGATTTTTTTGAGACAGAGTTTCTCTCTGTACCCCTGGCTGTCCTGGACTTCACTCTGTAAACCAGGCTGGCATGGTACTCACAGAGATCCTCCTGTCTCTGCCTCCCAAGTGCTGGGAGTTAAGGCATGTGCCACCACCCCTGGGCAAGAGCCCATGTTTTAAAGGTTTGGCCCATAGGTGGCACTGTTAGGAGGTGAGACCTCATAAGAAGTCCTGAGGTTACTGAGTGAGATGCCCAGCCCTTCCTCTTCTTTGCTCTCTGCCTGATGAGGTGATGACTTACTGAGCCAATCATTCTCACCATGTTGTGCTATGGTGACCCAAAGCTACAGGACCACTAGCTCAGTCACAGAATGGAATCTCTAAAACCATAAACTGAATAAACTTGGGTATTAATTATCTCAGGTAGTTTATGGTAACAAAGAGGAAAAAGAAGTCAAAGAGGACAACTCGGGCAGTCTTTCCAAGCTTGTCCAGAAAACAAGTTATAGCAAATAACCAACTGACTCACCTAGGGCCGTACGTTGTCAGTCCCCATCCTGAAACAGCTCTCAGATTATGATTTGTTTCCCTGTGGCTCTTTTTCTGGTTTGAGGCTGCTTATTCACCTAGGACCCACTAACCCTTAGCAAGGAACATTTTGTGGTGAGAACATTTAAGTCCTGGTCTCAGCAATTTTTAGTAGCTACCATGATGTATACCAGGTCTCCACAGTTTTTTCCCAAAATATGTTTTGTTGCTATTTTGCAATGCTACAGACTAAACCCAGACCTCACACACGTTCAGTATGTGTGCCTTCCACTAAGACACACCCTACCCCCAAGGAAACGTTTCTCCCCTTTTTGTTCATTTGTTCTCTTGGGTTTTTTGTTTGTTTGTTTGTTTGTGACAGGGTCTTACTATGTAGACCAGGCTAGCCTGGAACTCACTATACAGATCAGGCTAACCTAGAATTCTCTGTGTAGACTAGGCTGGCCTCACACTTTCAGAGATCCAATGGCCTTTGCTTCCCAAGTGCTAGGATTAAAGGCATGTGCCATTACTCCATCAAGAGCATTTTTCTTAACTTAAATGTATGTATTCTGGGGGCTGTAGAGATAGCTCAGTGGTCAAGAGCACTGACTGCTCTTCCAGAACACCTGGGTTCAGTTCCCAGCACCAACATGGCAGCTCACAACTGCCCATATCTCTAATTTCAGGGAATTCCTTGCCCTCTTCTGCACTTCACAGGCACTGGACAGTTAAGTAAAGTAAACAAATTTTGAAAAAAAAATGTACTCTCTTTTCCAAATAACTTAGAGATAAGCCAGCATAAGCCCATGAAAATTAAAACATAGTGTACACAATCAACATTGTACCTGCCCAAGTTAAATATGCTAATTGATGGCAGTCTCTTTACATAGTTAAATTATGTAAAACAGCTCAGAACTAGCCAAGCATGGATGCTCATGACTGTAATCACACAAGTTCCAGGCCAGACTGGGCTACATAGCAAGACCTTTCTCCCACAAAAGCTCTATAAGCCAGGAATGTTGGTGGTACATGCCTGTAATCCCAGTAGACAGGAAACTGAGGCAGAAGGACTACCATTTTAAGGTCAACTTGGATTACATAGTGAAACCCTGTCTCAAACACACACACACACACACACACACACACACACACACACGCACACACACACACACACACCACTGATTCACTGTAATTTTCACTCCCAGCTAAAGTCTTATAATATTTATATAAAGTCCATAATATTGTAATCATATGGCCTTCAATCCCAGCATTAGGGAGGCAGAGGCAGGCAGATCTCTGTGAATTTGAGGCCAGCCTGGTCTACAAACCTATACAGAGAAACTCTTGTCTTTGAGAACAAAAATTGTATTCATATGGATAAATCTGGGAGGTTTCCTGTAGTTAGGAGTTGAATTGACAATCCCTGTGCACTAGCCTCCTGAGCAATGCACTAAGGATAAAAGAGTAAAGAACCAGCTTGCAAATCATCAACTATGAGAAAACTGACTAAAGCAACCAATTAAAAGAAATAGGAAGCTTGGGGAGGTAACTCAATGGAAGGGTCACCTACCCAGCATGTCAGCATGTATAAGGTCTAGGTTCTATTCCCAGCACTTCAAAAAAGAGAGAGGGAGGGAGGGAGAGAAAGAGGCAGGGCAAGAGAGAGGGAGGTAGGGAGGGAGGCAGAAAGGGAGGGAGAGAGGGAGGGAGGCAAGAAGGGAGGGAGAGAGGGAGGGAGGCAGAGAGGCAGGAAGGGTGGGAGAGAGGGAGGGAGAGAGGAAGGGAGGGAAGGCAGAAGGGAAACTATGACCAAGCTATAACCCAACGCTGGTAGAGACTTACCGGAGTCACTGCTTTCACTTGCCCAGAAGTGACAGGAGTTGCCACACTACTGTCTGTGATCACAAACTGACCCGGGGGCAGTGTCATCATTTGAATTTCAGATGCTGAAAACATAAAATAAACAAAATTCAGTGGTCTTCACTTTTAGTGTAAGTGCTGTGAGAAGCAAATGCTTCTCTACTTATATTATGGGTTATATCCCAATAAGTCCATGAACTGAAAGGGCAGTAAAGTGGAATGCATTTTGTGAACACACCCACAAGGTCAATACACACAAACAGCTAGTCATTGTAACATACACTTTAATCCCAATACTGTGGAGGCAGAGGCAGGGGGATTTCTCTGAGTTCAAGGTCAGCCCTGCCTACATAGTAGTTCCAAGATAGCCAAGGCTATCCTGTTTCAAAAAAACAAAATTATATATACAAAAAAATAATAATAAAATAAATTTAAAAACCTACATAAATTAACAAGTGTTATAGCTTAGTCCATCCCACCCTAGGCATATTTAGAACCTGCATATTAGCTGCAGGGAACAAATCCACCCAGGACCAGTCAGAGCAACAAAAAGCCCCACCTGAAAAGCAGAAACCCCAAATGGTATATGATTATTTTCTTGCCATACCAACGGTAATCCTATGTTGAAAAATCCTAAAAGTGCTGGGCCCTGTAGCACAAGGCTATAACTGAAGCACTTTGGAGGCTAACACAGGAGGGTTTTTTGTTTGTTTGTTGTTTGTTTAACATACAGTCTCAGGTACCCCAGGATAGTCTCAAACTTACTATGTTACAGAGTGACCTTGAACTTTTGGATAGTCTGCTTCCCATCTCCTGAGATTACAGGCATGTGGTTCCATGCCCAGTTTATGCTGTGCTACAGACTAAACTCAAGGACTCCTCAATGCTAGGCAAATACTCTACCAGCTGAGCTATATCCCCAACCTTGGCTGCATAGTGTGTGTGTTTGAGGCTTGCCTGAGCTATAAGAGGTCCAAAACCCAAAAGAAGAAAGATCCTAAGTGCTAATTTGGAGACCATCTGTAACTGCCAGGGCTCACATTCCTACTGAGATAGTCCCAAGGTTTCCCACACGTGCAAGACCTTATAATGGTGTGATTCCCACCCCCCCCACCCCTACTTTGGTTTGTTTTTCATACAGGATTTCTCTTTGTATCCATGGCTGTCCTAGAACTCACTCTATAGACCAGGCTAGCCTCAAACTCAGAGATCGACTGCCTTTACCTCTGGAATAGTAGGATAAAGACATGAGCCACCACACCTGGCCAGACATGGTTTTTTAAAAATAAATTTATTTATTTATTTTTACCTGATGTGATTTCTTGAGTGAATGGACCTCTAACTGTGTATGTGTGTATGGCGCGCGTGCCCATAAAGATGACTGTACTCCATCTTGGCACAAGGGCAGAAAGTTCAAAGCTGTCAGCAAGTCATAAGACCTAAAGGTCAAAGGTGTGGCTACAGAAGGATGTTTCCGCCATCTTAGTCTAAATAACAACAGACCTGAATCTGAGGTGTGGCTACTCCTGACCTCAAGGGAACAAAAAGTTGGAGCTAAGGTGTGGTTATTGAACCCTTGGAATGAGTGAAGAAAGTCTGTTGTTCCATAAACATGATACTGTGTTCCACTTTTTGGTTCTGGTATATAAGAGTGGTGAAAAATAAACTCATGGCATTTCAGTATTGACTGATCTGCCCTCCTGACCTTTATTCTCTCTCTCTCTCTCTCTCTCTCTCTCTCTCTCTCTCTCTCTCTCTCTCTCTCTTTCTTTATTATCTATAGTTAGCCATTCCCTCATCCACACTCCCCCACTCAGGTACAGACTTGGGGCTGCTTGGCTGGCTCTGATTGCAGCTCGGCAAAGACCACTCTTGATATGTGTGTATACACAGTAATTACATGTGTGTAAAAAGGCTAATATAGAGGGACCAAATGTAAGAAACAATGAGTGCTGGGCACTGGTTGCACACGCCTTTAATACCAGTACTCGGGAGGCAGAGGCAGAGGCAGCTGGATCTCTATGAGTCTGGGGCTGTCCTGGTCCACAGAGTGAGTTCCAATACAGCCAATACTTTTTCAAAAAAGAAAAAAGAAACAACCAATGCTTTCTCACTCAAAAGTAGTGTCTTCCAAATATTCACAAAGATAGTCAACTTTCTTTTCTTTTCTTTTTTGGTTGTTTGAAACCAGGCTTCTCTGTGAAACAGTCCTGGATGTCTTAGAACTCAGTCTGTAGACCAGGTTGATCTCAAACTCACAGAGATCTGCCTGCCTCTGTCTCCCAAGTGGTGGGATTAGACATGTGCCACACCACCACCTGGCTAAATACTCAACTTTTTAGATTTTGAAAGGAGTTATAAAAGTTTTCTGGATTAGTATTTTTTTTTTTATATACACAGATTTGAGTTCATCACACAAATGTATCCATAGCTACCTAGTGATCACAACTGAGTAACCAGCATGATTGAAGATCTATTGGTAGTCTCTGAGCAGTATTTTCCACTAAAGTGGATGAGGATGCTTAGGAGATTGAGTGATGGGAGATGAGCTTGGAACACTGTGCCTTCTCAGCACAGAGAGGAGTCATGTGTGAAAGACGCAGGCGCCAGTTTGAGTAAACAATGATGAGGTAACCTGGACATCCATCAGGGTAACACATGCAGGAGATTCAAGCATGCTGTGTTACATGTGTTACATGTGTAAACTTCATGAGTACAAAGTAACACACACAGGTTATCTTGGATAACACAACACAAGGAAACTAACTTACTACTTTGAAAACTAGTAATTTAAATGGTGAATCTGGCATTTAAAGTATTTTATTCTGCTTTTCCTATACAAACTGTATCTTAGAGCAATTTTATGATTAAGATAAACTTTTCCTTTCTCTCTCTCTCTCTCTCTCTCTCTCTCTCTCTCTCTCTCTCTCTCTCTCTCTCTCTCTCTCTTCCTCTCTCTCTCTCTCTCTCTTTCCTTTGCTTTTATAGCTAACCTCAGTTAACTATGTAGACAAGGCTGGTTTCTGATGGGAGATGTCATCATTCTATATATACGTTTCTCTTATTGGCTAATGATTATAGCACTGTTGGCCAATAGGAAAGCAAAATAGGTGGGACAAGGAGGATTCCGGAAGGAGTAGGGAGGAGATTCAAGATGGTGGACCAAGAGAGAAGAACACCAGCCCCTCTCTCTGGTAAGATAAGACCATGTGGAAGTACTTAGATTAATAGAAATGGGTTAATATTTAAGACAGAGCTAGCCAATGAGAAACACTAATAACAAGTCAACAGTTTTGTATCTAATACAGCGTCTCTGTGTGTTATTTGTGGCTGGTGCTTCACTGGGTCCAGGTGAGGGAAAAACCTACTCCTAACCTGAACATGGACCTGAAAACTTACACTTAAAACTTAACAAAAACATTAAAAAGGATTTTAGAAACAAAAAAAAAAAAAAAAACAGAGACAAACAAGGCTTCTTGGTAGCAGCATTTTTCTCGGTTGGACTCTGTTTTCCTAGAGACAAGCAGAGATTTGCGCGGCTCCTTTAAGGGAGATATCCTGACTCAGTATAAGCAGCAAAAAACCACAAGGCTTTTAAACAGCTCTGCTAACAGTTCAATGGTGTGTATGAACAGCTGGCAATGGCAGTGACCACATCTCCAATCTGGCAACATGCTGCTGGATGCCAACGTAGATCAAGGCAGTGAGCACAGCTCTCAGTTCTGGCGTTAAAGGTACCTGCCGTCATCTTGGTTAGAGTGTGGCTGAAACAACTGTGGCTTTCATTTTAGCAATGTTGTTGTTTACCAGATAAAAGACTCATGGACAGAAAAAGATAAAGATTTACAGTAAAAACAGATTCAGATTAAGAAAAACCTCTAAAGGTTTACAGTGTGTTTTAATATACGTAGGCTTGGGAGAGAAAAAGAATAAAATGGTTTTAAAAAGACAGAGAGGAGCTGGGTGTGGTGGCACACGCCTTTAATTCTAGCACTCGGGAGACAGGCAAACAGATCTCTGTGATTTCAAAATAAACCTGGTATACAGAGTTAATTCCAGGACAGATAAAAGTTATACAGAGAACCCCTGTCTCAAAAAATGAAAAAATAGAACTAGAAAAAATAGAGTAATAAAAAAGCCATATAAAATTGGAAAGCACAGAGAGAATTTGGATACTGTACGGTATATTGTATTTGTATCATTTGACTGCTGAGGAAATAACAACTGTTAAAAGAAATGCTGCTGGATTAATTCAATATATATATTTTCAAAATACTTTGACTTCAAAATTTAAGTCTAAGGACAGGTTACTGGGGAAAAGGATTTCTATTTTTGTTTCTACAGAAAATGAAAAGCTGTGTATTCCTTCCAGACTAACATGGTTTGATCAAGCAAGATCCCCTGAAACAGCGTTCCAGGTGATCCAACATTTAAAACAGCTGGGGCAAGGCAGCCTTACAGACTACAGCCAGGATTTCTGCATCTTATTAGGCTCCCCATGACAGCGCCCCCTACCAGCAGGAAGCAGTTTGGAAAGAACAAAGCCCAAATTCCCAAATATTGTTTATAAATGTTTGTTTTCATTTAAGTGGGCTTGGTTATAAATAGTTAATGATCACAGCCAATTCTTTTAAAGGTAAAAAGGGGATTATAGTACAGATATGAATACTTCATTTTGGAATGGATTTTCATTTATTGATACAAATTTAAGGTCAATTTTGTGATAAGTATATTTCTCCTCTTGTTTAGGTATTGTGTTTATATAGCTCACTTAGAAATGTAATGTATAATTTAGTACAGATTTTAGATAGTTACCTATAACACTCAAAACTTTAGTTAGGTTTTACCTGTAATAGTCAAAACTTAAAATATTAGTTAGTTTTCTAGATATATAGAGATGTATTTGAGATGGAAAGGCATTCTTCAAACTTTTCAAAGACCTATAGAATATGGCATTTAAAATTGTTTAGGGTTTTTCTTGACAAGGAGGCACAACTGCTCCTGGCAACACCACCTGTCAGAAAGGAAGATGGACATTGAAGAAACTCATTATGGAATTTGCTTTCAATATGGCAAGACTAGCCAT